GACTTATCATTTTCATGTGTTTATTGACCTAAAGATTTAATCACTTTGTTATGGATTAGAGACAGCACCCCAAAATACCAGGACAAATATCCCTTACCTCTTAGTCAGTTGATTATGTGCCATCAAGTTGATGTTGACTCTGACCACATAGAAAGACATCCAGGATGATCTGACCTCACCTTGGCCCTTCAGGTCTCCCAGATGTGCGTCCATCATTGCTGCAACTAAGTCAATCCATCTTCCTACTGGCCATCCTCTTCTCTTTCCTTCCACCTTTCCCAGCATTATGGACTTCTCAAGGGAGCTAGGTTTTCACATCTCAGTCTATAGAATTATCCAAACAGATCTGAATATGAGCATGTGAGTTTTCATAATAGTCTGAAAATCTTTAAAGTTTCTTCCAAAAATATGTACACTTTATTCAGAAGATTTTTTCCCCCTGTAACTGAAACATTCTTTATTAGCTTGGTTCAGTACAGTGGCTACTTTTTATGTGATTCTTTTTTGTAATAAAGCACAAGATATATATCATGCTTTGTATTAGTAATTTACTTTGCATTTAACAAATAAACTTTCCTTTTAATCTTAGGGAAAATCTGCTTTGTGGTCACATTTGTTACATTACCAAGAAAACAGACAGCGAAAACCTACATCTGGAAGCTTCAGTACCTCAGGTGCAGTTATCTTCCATAAAAATTATGCTTTCATTTTGTACAAGAAAAAAAAAAATCACAAAAACAAATTATAATTCTAAATTCTAATACAAAACAGGGGTACCTAGAAGATATATTTATTTATTGAAACCAATTCTGATATAAATTCTACCCCTGGGGAACCTACATCTGGAAGCTTCAGTACCTCAGGTGCAGTTATCTTCCATAAAAATTATGCTTTCATTTTGTACAAGAAAAAAAAAAATCACAAAAACAAATTATAATTCTAAATTCTAATACAAAACAGGGGTACCTAGAAGATATATTTATTTATTGAAACCAATTCTGATATAAATTCTACCCCTGGGGAATACTAATTATTCTAGAACAGCAGTTCTCAAACATTTTGGTCTCAAGACTCCTTTACATTCTTAAACATGATTGAGGACCCCAAAGAGCTTTGGTTTGTGGGGGTTATCTCTCTCAATATTTACTGTATTAGAAATTAAAACTGAGAAACTTTAAAATATTTATTTATTTGACTTTGTGAACCCCTGAAAGGGTCTCAGGGACCCCCAGGTGTCCCCAGACCACACTTTGAGAACTACTGTTCTAGAATATAAAGTTTCTACTAGGTATCACCTAGAATTACTATTTTAAATTAAACTATCCTTTCTGAGAAAGGCACTGATATAGGGCTTGAAGTAACATGTTTTAATCTGTTTTTCCAAAGCACTGTACCTGTCATAGCTTCACTGTGGGACTTTAAAAGTCAAATTTATTGGGATGAGTTCAGTTAGTGGAAAAGCTGTGGAGCATAGGGTTTTAAATGTTAGTCAAGAAACTGAATTGATATAAAGGCTTGATCTAAGACAGAATTAACTGATTCCAAACTGAATTTTTAATAGCATCTTCTTGTATTAATACTAATATTTCTGCTAATTATAAATAGAACTCTTTTATATTGCAAGGAGTGCTGAATCCTCATGGGAATAAACATGAGTCATTTACTTGCATGAATGAAAGAAAAAGCTCTGCATTATGGGACCTTAATTGGGTTTACCAGACATGTCTTCTGGGTCACAGGGCAGATATCTGTCTCTGCAGTATCCCAAAAGTATAGCTTGTTTCCTTGGTCCAAAAGAATATGATGGTAGCTAGTGGAAAATATATGGTACTATATCTTGTTAGCACCTGGTAGAACCCAAGAGTTAATTTCAGTGTATGAAATATAGCTAATTTTGAGCCAAGAAAAGTATATGTCCTTCATTACTGAGCTTCACACTATTCTGGAATTGGGAACAAGAGTATCTAGTTCAAAATACACAAAAGCTGATGTGTTTGAATTGCAGTGCCTTAGGTTAATCAGATTTGATTAGATCATTGTACACGTTTGAAATTATGCCATGGCATGCATTGGAACTGTTCTTCAAAACCTGCAAACAATTTCAGCTTCTGCCTCATCACTAGCATTGCATCCTCTGCCCCCCCCATCTCCCCCAGTCTATTGATCTATGCAGTTCCAACTGCGTTTTGGAAACCTAATTTAATATTCTAAAAACAAAGTTCATACTCATTTTCAAAGAATAGTTTTGAAGTTTTTTAGATGAAAGATTTCAGCTCTACTGACTCCCACTCTCAATAATTTTTATGGTGTTTTCTTGTGTCTACCAGCTGTCACTTACCCCTGTAAAAGAAACTCAGGGTGGAGTAGGTTTTGAGAGAATATGTCAAATAAGGAAACACAAATCTCTGTTGATCAAGCTATAGGTCTTTTAGATATAAGACCTTATCACCAACTGATGAAGCAATGAAGACCACAGATAAGCTCATATAGAGCCTGTATAGTAGAATGGCTTCAGATATTGCTTAAAATCAAAGCATTTGCATTTTTTAAACATTTAGTCAAATGTTTGTCATCTTTACTTTAGGAATTCTTCTAGATGCTGAAAGAAGGAAGTCAGATGCCAACCCAGGAATGTCTCCTTTAAGAGTATCCCTCATCCAGGACATGAGGTTGGAATTTTGAAATCCTAAAGATTTGATAAAAGTTTCAGTCATATTTTTAGGACAACCAAGTTTAAAATATTGTTTGTAATTGTTTTCATTTCACTCTAATTATTTTGATTAATATTTTGTGTTTAGGCAAGCACCAGAATCTTAAACCAGTTTATTCGAAAGTATGTATTAGATATCTACAGTGAGATATAATGCCTAATAGTCAGGTAAAGATTGAAACTTAAACATTAGCTAACTGATAATTTTGAAAAATGCTTTCGCAACAATTTTGTTAAAGTTTCTGATCTTATTTGAGATCACTACTTTAGAATCTATTAGTTGTTAGCTTCCTTTCCCCCCCCCCCCCCC